TAAGTATTACAAAAATGTTTCCCCTATGACCAGTAAATGCAGAGATATTTAACTAATTATGCTAGAAATCAAGATTGGTCTTCTGCTTTCAAAATAGGAAACAACTCCAAAATTGTTATTCGTTAGTTCATTTCAGGTTATTTGCTTCACTTAATTCATCTGCTGAGCTGTTCCTCAACACTATTATTACTTGCTTTTATATAACATGAAGTTTGGCAGCAAGATTTTTCTTTTTCTGCAGAGCTTGCAACAGACAAAATTTATCCCAACTGTGCACTTTATACATTGAAGAGTACTACAATATTTGCACAGTAAAATACAGCAATTCACTTAACTAATTTACCCATGTGGCTGCATTTTTTTTTGCTGCTATGGCTTCTAGTGCATCTCTCATTTTTGTCTGAAAGGTGGATAAAGGTAGATACTGAAAGGACTGATGATTTATTTACAACAAACAAGACACAGCCATGTAACATAGATGCAAGCGATACCTCACCATCTAGGGATAACAAAACACTTGATCATTGTAAGGCATAATTTACGTGGCAGTGACCAAAGTGACCTTGCAGTGCTTTTACAAGTCCTACAGCCATTTAACCTGCAGAATAATAGTAGTTCCCTAGCATACCCCACTAAGATACTGATCATGACTAATTAACATGGATTGGGCTCAAAGTCGCAAGAGGTTGAAACACCTTTCTACTCCCATCACCCCATCCTGTTTCCTCCTTAGCCTCCAGCCAGATGGGGAGAACTGCATCGCCCCTTCAGGCCAGCCAGCCAAGCCTGCGGTCTGACTGCCGGGTACGGCTGGTGCTGACCTTACACAGGCAGCTCTGACCTCCCCGCAGGCCATGGGGGGCCGGGGCCGGGCGGCACAGCCGGATAGTCCCACCGGGATGGCGGAGCTGTCCAGGGTCCTAACCCGGCTCCTCCCCAGAGACCGGCCCTTGCTTATCCATGAAAAACTCCTGCTACTTCCATGTGCTAGATATCTATCTATCTATCTATCTATCTATCTATCTATCTATCTATCTATCTATCTATCTATCTATCTATCTATCTATCTATCTATCTATCTATCTATCTATCTATCCTCCTATCTATCTATCTATCTATCTATCTATCTATCTATCTATCTATCTATCTATCTATCTATCTATCTATCTATCTATCTATCTATCTATCTATCTATCTATCCTCCCCCCGACTTCCTCGTTTTAAAATATTTACTCTCCCTTCACTCCCTCCCCACATTTTGCCTTTTAATGTAGCTCAACAGCGCGCCTGGCTATGCTGCCCCAAGAGGATTCACCTTCATTGCTGTGACACCTCAGGGTGGTCCCTAAAGCCATTTCAGACTGCCTCATCCTGGGCAATCCTCAAATAACACCCTGCAATGCCAGCTCTGCCTGTAGCTGGCAGTTCACCAGGAATTTACACTTGTGAAGAGCTCTAGGAAAAAGGACAAGGTGCATTTGACACAGTGTGAGTGCAATTTGACACTGCATAAGTGCAATACTGTTCATATTTCCTTAAGTACAAAATGTCCCATTTGTGATTTGAAACTTCTGTATGAGACAAGCTTGAAAAGCAGTCACACAAATAACATTTTCCAACGTGATTCTCAGCAATTCCTGTGAACACTTACTGCATCACTCTGAGTGAATACATACAAGGATGGGATAAGTGGTGATAACGTAAACTCTTTTTAAAGAATGCTTTTATTTATCACCACTTTGCTAGAAGGCTACTGCCCTCCCTACATCTTAGGAAATTGCTATGTAGCATAATCTTGTCACTGTTACTCAGGACCCTGTATTTCTCTGCTACTGTTACAGGGTATTAAAGTCAACTCCTCTTTCATTTTCAGATTTTAAAAATCTGCTCAAGCGTAAAGAGAATTGCTACAGAAACCAAATGAAAATCACATATTTTAGTTCTTTTGTATCTATTATTTTTCTGACAACCTTTTTTTTGTGGTTTGTTTTTTTTTTGAAATGTCACTGTAATTATTTTAAATTCCTTCTCAAGTGCCTGCCTCCCAGAACACTGTTCCCCATAATAATACTCCCTTACCTTGAAGAAAGTATAAAACTGTTCCTCTGAAAAGCATGTTTTGGCTAAAGCACTTAAAATTCCACTAAACTACTTACTAAGACAGCTTATTATAGGAAGAAGCACTTGTTTTCCTTGCATGGCTCAGCAGGTGGGAAAATGTTGCTGTAAACTAAACCAATATTAAGGATGTAGTTTTTAAGGTACTGCCTTTAAGACACTGTAAGCAAACACAGGACACAAATATATATATATATATATATAATCTTTTATAATAATTGTTTTTTCTTTTATTATTTTTTCTTCCATTTGTGGCCCTCAGCAGCAAACCCAAATACTCACCACACCTGTACCAAATAGTTTCACTTCTGTTAACACAGAAGTTTTTGCCCATCTCAGTGTGAGTGCAGACACACACTGTAATAAAGCCATAAAAAGGTAAAAGTCTCACACACCTGGTCTCCTTTACACCATACTTATATTTTCCTCACAAACACAAAACTTTCACTTGCAGAGGACCAAATGATACTACTTCAATAATTCATCAATATAGTTCACATCTAATTTCTCAGCCATTCCTAAGTATCCCAGAACAATCACACACAAGTTTAGTAAATAAACTATATATTCAGGAGGAAGTTACATAAAGCAGTTTGTGTCAGACAGGGTAAAGAAAGGGCAATGGGGTTTTTCCCCATAACTTTCCCCATAACTTTTGCAGGTTTGGCTACTTAAAACTGTATTATATACAACTACATGTACATTGTACATGTGTGGAAATGCTGTGTGTGGCAGCACCACTCTCTAGTCATTCATTACCAATAAAAGCCCAACTAGAGAATGCTCAGAAGGTGCTTGGGATTACTGACAGAACACATCCATTATACAAATATAATTAAACCCACCTTTATGGCATAGCTAATAAAAACCATAATTATTGCACTAAAAGAAAAAAAACAAAACACCCAAAACAAAAACAACAAACCACAGCACAAAAAAACCCTAAGCAAAAAAACCACAACCACCTAAGAAGGAAAGCCATCATTTAAAACACGATCCCACTGAAATAACACACAAGCATTCTAATGGCAAACTTTGAAAAAATATTATCTTTGGCTTCCTGACCTGAAGCATAAACATCCATCTCTGCCACCAAGAAAAACCCATTAAGACTTCCTGTTATGAAGTAGCTTGGCTTTGATAGGGAATCATGAAGTAGCTTTCCCCTTTGATGGGAGATTAGAGCCTGCAGTTAGGACAGCAGCAACAGAAGTTGTTTTATCCGACTTCAGTATGACTTTGGACATACTTGAACATCTGTGGCATCTGAGTGAAACTGCTTTACCACATCTTCAGCTTCACAGCAGAGGACTGAACTCTCTAATTCACAGTGATTAAAGACAACACTCTGACAGGCTCCCATAGTATTAAGTACATTCACTACTGATTCAGACATCAGAAAAGGACCCCATGTCTCCAGTGCACAACTGCGTGGGTGCTGAGCTGACTCCTGAGGAGACGTCACACTCTCCTGCCCATTCTCAAGCACAAGTTCTTGCTTCCCTCACACATGATCACAAAAAGTCCTACTTGCTGAGTCAACTTCTAAAGGTTTTGGAACAATACACCAGGTGTTTTGCATACAATATAAAAGGATAGGAACTAGCCAAAACTAGGGGACAGAACAGAACTGCCCCTCCAGCACTGCACTTAATTGAGAGAAAACTGCTCTTTTACCAGTGTAACTGGTCCACATGGTGGGGCCAGCTTCTCGTCCTGCTGGAGGGAGGCTCAAAAGGAAGCAGAAAAGAACATGGCTGTCAAAACTGAAACAAACACACCTATCCTTTTGTTTCGAAATATAAGCACTTGTAAGCATGACAAGTTGCTACACTTTTTCACTCTAATCTCCTTTGGAAACAGATTTATCTCCTCACCAGTACCACTACAAGGACTGGCTGCCTCCCTTTCACTCCCTTCTGCCACAATTACAAGTACTTAATCGACAGTCTCTTTCTAATAATTCATGGTGTAGAAACACCTAACCAAAGTTAGGAAGTGCAGCTAACAACTAGGCACTTAACTTCCTAGTCCATACTTCTTTGCATTCAGTTCTTCCAGTGTTACTGGAAGTAACAAAGTATTCCAGTGTTACTGTAAACTACATAAATTATAACACTTCTAGAAAAAATGTACTACCCTGACAAACATCTATAGATCTTCATCTTCTAATGCACAATCCATAAAAATTATCTATTTTTTCCTCTTAATTCTAAAACCAAAACTGTGTACACACAATCTTCATAGAGAGGCACTTTTGTTTGGCAACTGCTAAAACTTCTAATTACGAGGATGCTCTGACTGACCAAATGTTACACCAGTGACTGCTGTTGTTATTCAGTAACATAATGACTGCTACACGCATGGCTTTTATACAAGCAATGTGATTGTTAACTGTGACCGAAACACTAAAGTATGCAAATATAGTGCATTAGCAAACTTTTGATTAACCATAATAGTATGACACTGAAAGGTTACCAGCTCAGTTCTCACATAAACAGGATCTTGGGGCTTTGGATTAGTCAAACTGTAAAGTACTTGAAGCTGATGTTCCCTTTTCCCTCCTGCACATTTTATGAACAGTGACTTTATGGTTAGCTAAGCAATGGCACTGTGCTGCTTGTTCACTCCTCAACGGAGAGAAAAATCTACCAGAACTGTTCCAGGTTGTTGTGACTCCCTCATAGCAGGCAGGGTTGGACTCACTGTGGCCACCAGTCTTTCTTGCCTTTCCCCCAGCCTCAGATGAGCAGCCTAACAAGTTACTGCTGAGCTGCTCTGAGCAGCCACAGGAGCGCGCCGGCTGCTCCAGCTCCCAGGCACAGCACAAACTCGAGGCAAGGGCAGCACAGTGTGCTGCGATGTAAAAAAGCATGTCGTACGTGGCTGCTGAGGACATGACAAAGGTGCACTTGCAGCAAAACTGATAAAGCCCAGCTCTTTTCCTTCGGGTATCCCAAGCACAAGTGACTCCGCACACCACATCTTGCCGGTTCTATTCACAGCAGAGCACATGCCCACCCCCATCAGTGGTATCAGCCATTAGGAAAGCACATTTCAGAAGGTGCATTTGCGTCAAGAACTTGAAGCACAGTCTCTGAGAAACAACGCTCTTCATCTTAAGCAGCAGCTCTGGAAGCCCGTCAGCCGGTCCCTCCGGCAG